GTCATCGTTCACCGGGTCTCCCCTATCCTGGGCTAGGAAACTAGGCGAATTTCCTCGCCGAGATCTGGCAGCGGGCGCGCCGATGCGCGGAGAGATTACGCATCGGGCATCGGAAGAACGGCCGCTAACCGGAAGTATAAACTCAATGAAACAAGGCTTGAACAGCTCCTACCGTCCGGCCGTTCGCGCCGTCAGGAAATGTGAGAGTTCACGTTGAGTTGGCCAAAACTTGATCCTCGGGCTGAACTTGACCGTATTTTTAGAAAATAGGGCGCCGAAACCGCCGGGCCACCGCGGATGGATCGGTTGCGCTGATCGGAGAATCCCGTTTTGATGGTTCGAAATTATAGATTGGCGAAAAATAATAAGCCCCAGGTTTCGATATGTGTAGCCACTCGAAAAACATGTAGTTGACGTCATTCACCCCGGGAGTGCGAACTATGAAGCCCGCCTTGCACAGTTAAAAATCGAGGAGTGATAATCGGTGCTGGCGTCCATACCGCCGAAGACCCTCTCACGTTCGTGAGGTTGCGTTTTGGACACACAACAAACCCATTTTCAGGTTAGGAATTGGCGGAAGAGGGCGGCACTATATACTGAAAAAAAAAGATTGGTGGAATTTACCATTCCTACACGCTGTATTTCACACAGCGTCAATTTAGAGATTCTGCCAGAAGAAAGGTAAACGTTACTATAATATACTGGTACAGGTAACCATACCTCTGGCAGAGTCGACTTGAAGATTGGTAGAATTTACCATATTCCTTCACGTTGTGTGAAATACAGCGTTATCAGGCGTTACAAGTTATCAGGAATCTAGACTCTAGATCCAATGTTTTTTTTTTTTTTTTTAGTGTACGTCATTTTTGCGCAATTGCGGTTTTCTCATACGTCTCGTTTTCATGAAAATAAGAAAAATGTTGCTATTGTAGCTATTTCAGTGATTTCATCTAAAAGAGATTAGACGAATTTTGAAGGAAGCTCGATTTCGAAAATTTGACACATACTGCTCTCTTTCTTCGTAAATACTGATTCTTTCAGTGCGACGACGGCGATAAACGGTGAAACCGGCAATGGAGCGAGTTACTTGTAACTTGTTGAATAACCTATGGGTGGTAATCGTCGAACGGTCGACGAGTCATAATAATTATAAGGTTTCAAGAAAGTTATTTTCATTTTCCTCGTGCTTTGACCGGGACCGTTTCCACTCACACACAGGACGAATCTTTGATTTATCGTCGAGTCACACTCCGGGCCCTGCCCCGCGTCGCACACGGGGCCGGTCGACGGGAGAAGTCGAACAAAATTTGGAAACTTCAAAAGCTCATACCTAAATTAATGAAAAGGATTTAAAAGTAGTTTCATTTGTTTAATCGTGAAATTTTCATGAGGGAGAACCGCATAAAATTTGCAATCTAACGAAATTAACATCAAAATTTACAGTTTTAGTAAAAAAATTTAATGTTCGACTTCTTCCAAGGCATGTGCCATTGTGCGCCGCGTCGCGAGTTGAACCTCGTTGCCGCGGGCCGGTAAAATTTCGACGCGGGGACCCGGAAAATGACGTCATTTTCCGTTCAACTGGCGACAGCGACTGCGCAGGCGCAGGGGACGAAAGATGCGGTTCCACAGACAAAAGTTGAGGGCAACTGCGCGGCAGAGGTGCGCAATTGGATGAAGTGAATCCTATCCAATCCTGGAGCCTATTCAATCCCCTCTACTAAAATCTCCTTGATAAACAATCAAAAGACACGTATTTATTCAAAGATCTGTTCTAAGACCGTTTGTCAGTCACGTTTGGACTACATTTTGCAATTCGGAACTACAATTTTTGGCTCAGTTTGGAAATGAGGATTTCTAACAGTGTGCGTGTTGCGTTGCCAACGTCTGTGACAAAAAATAGCTTCAAAATCGTCGCACTCTGTCGCGCGACCAACCTCGCGTCGCGCTCCATCAGTGGAACCGTGGCTTAACGAGTAATAAACGCCACGGCAGCTCTGTAATAAATGACCCATCGGTAATTATACATACGGGCCCCGGGCAAAGGACAATTAAACTAAGTGAACGATTATTTAATTTTCGGAAGACCTCACCTTACGCTACTACCACGCGGGTCGATTGGTTCCGAGTTTCCGAGGTGACCGGAGGCATTCAACCTGAGAGACTCCAGGTTGCCGCTCGCTCGCTCGCCCCAAAAACGTCGTATGAGCTTTCAGACGTTGCCAAATCTCCTTGACTAAAAACCGTATTTACAGGAAAAATTTTGACAATTGTTTTTTCGAATTTTTCAGAAAATTTTGTTCGCAATTTGATCTAACATATCTGAAAATGTCACGATAAATTATGCATACCTTTCCTCAAAAATACATACGTAACCGGAGAAATTTGGCAACTCTCAAATGTTCATACGACGTTTCACCTTAGCGCACGGCAGACTTATTTACTAAAAAAGCACAGCCCCTTTATACGGGGAGTTAAGACATCTGAGGTCCTAATGTCACGATCTTACCATCGCACAGTGGGTCGAGGCAATGTGAATAGTAGAGGTTGGACAATATTTGAAAACTTATGAAGCTTATAATTCCGTTTATACAAGACTTTGAGGTTTTAAAATATGAAATTGTGAAATTTCTAGAGGTACCTCTGAAAGTTTAAAATGTGACGAATTAAGCCTCAAAATTTGCGATAAGAGTTTGCAGCTTTAGTCAGAAATGTCATGTCCGACCTCTCTAATTGACTCGATCCACTGTGCGTCTCATTATTAAGCGGTTTGTTGCATTTTCCGTATAATCTTTTACTAGCTTAGCCCATTCTCGTTCGCGTATACCACCACCATACTGCCGCGTTACCAAAAGGAGCATAAGTTAATAAAATGCGTAAAAACTTAATTTTTTAAAACAAAGTTAGATCAGTCTCCGGATACCCACACATCATGAATCTCTTTTCTGTCGCTGCATTCAAGTCTCTCTCAAGGGAAGTCGATGGACACCGAGGGACCTGCGGGCTGATTTTTGAAATTGATAGACAAAGCTATAGACAAAGAACACAAAAGGGATATGGAGGGATCCTATTGGTGGAAGCGGGGGGTTGCAATAAACATAGGAGATAGGTAGCAGACTAGCTAACGGCAACTCACGAGAGACCCTGTAGTTAGTCTATCATTTACCCCTTTTGTCTATAAGAATCACCCATTTCAACCAATAGGATCGCTTCATAGTCCCCATGTCTTCTTGTCTATCAATTTCAACAATCCGCCTGCAGCAATGTTACTTCAGTGGCGAGGCGTAATAATCGACCATTGATGCTATCCAATTTGAAGCTGGAACCGATTATTATGGTGTTCGTTACGAACGCCCTGATAGTCGATATTTTAATATAGGTTTGAATTACATATTAATCAATACTTCACGCCACTTTTTTACTTGCTTTTGTAGTATGTAATGACTACCGATATCATAATCGACTAATCCCAAGTCGATTATGATAAAGATTTGATTTCCTGAAAGAGAAAAATGGTCGATTTTACCATGTGACAAAGTAATAAGAGTGCGGTAATCGAACGACGGACTCCGGGTAGTATTCACGATACTGTGCAGTAGATTTCAAACATCAGTATGGTAAATGATACCACGAATCTGGTTCTATGCTTGCCTTCATCTGAGAGTCGTTCTGTGACAAAAGTTAATTAGACTCATAAGTGAGGGAAAAGTAGAGGAAACGTGGAATAGAGCCCCTTTGATTGGGATAATACGCAAAAAATCGCACCAAAACGTTAGAAATTAATTCACTCCGATTTTAGAATAGTATGGTCTGTCCTGTAGATTACTTTTGGTGATTATCAAATGCCTGCTCTTGATATTTTTTTGAAAACAAACGTTCAATTATATATAAGACGATGGGAGTTCCGCATCTTCTGCTTGGTTACAATTTGAAAAAAAAAAAAAAAAAAAAAAAAAAAAAAAAAAAAAAAAATCTTGTCATCATAAAACTCAAAAGTACACAGATCAGCAGCAATATATATCTAAATATACCTATTCGTTTTTTAGGTGTGAAATTTTTTGATAATCGTCCTAAAATATGCATTTTTATTTTGATTGATAATTTTCGTTTCAAAATGTCAGCGAGTAATTTAACAACTCGGAGTCGATCTTGTGTGAACTACGGCTACCTCTGACTCAGATCACGACCTAAACGCATTTAAAAACGTACAAGAGACCGATCACTTTTTCATTCTCAAAGTTAATTGGACATCGTATACATTCACCACAAAAAAAAACCCACCTTTATTACTTCGATGCCAACTTTTCAGGGTAGGTACACGACTTTTTTTTCCTTGAGAAGTAAAACCGTGTTACGTACGCCTCGAAACTTTAATTAATTTTCGTATATCTCATGAAAGTAATACTGTGGAGCTTTCGAAAAAATGTATTGGTTCGGTATCGTATTTTTTTTTCTTCCAAGGGAAGTGAGATAAAATCCTCTACGTAGAACTTTGGCTGCAGCTTCGATAGGTGTGTAATTTTTCGTTTAATTCTAAATCGGACAGAGCAACTTTTCTGTAGATCTTCTGAAGAGACACGCGTATAATCTACTGTCAAATTATACACGCGCGTTCAGCATCCCTTTCCTCTATCACCCGTCCGTCCGAGTTGGGATTAATCTGTGACATTTCTTATCTCAGGATGCTCTCGTTCATCGTGTCCTCAGCGTGGTTTGATTCAACTGTGCGACAGTAAATGACGGAGCAAAGGTCCATGTAGAAGTCAATAACGTATTTGCTCTGATTCAGAGGCTCCAGTAAAAATTAAGAGCAAAGGTTAATCTGTCATCCAAAGTTATTTCTTCTTATTAAAAAAAAAAAAAAATACAGAAAATATCAGCGGAAAGTAATGCGATAAAAATTAAAGAGTAAATCATATTTTGCTGATTGAAATAAATCAAAACTGGAGCTTTGAACGATCCTGTAAATAGATGTCGAAACAGGTGGAAAGTAAACATACCATTGATAAGCTGGATTCGAGGATGGATCAGGTGAAAAAAATTGACAGCACAATCAGCTAATCCAGCACAAACTTATCCACAGGTAGTTGAAAGGAGAGCGCAACCGGACTGGGCTTAAGAAAGATCAGGTTTAAAACACATCCACAAAGCAAAACAAAGTAGAAAAAAGGAGCAACAGGTGTTTCGTGTCGCTGATTGATTTTCGGCCCGTCGTTTTCGCTTTACTCGATTCTTTATTTCTTTATTTTCCCGTTATATCATCGGCTCGGCACTTTTTCGGAGGTAGAACACACACTCACACACACCAAACTATTTAGTACATCCGACACTTGTTTCGGCGGCGAGGGATGGGGGCCGACTCCGTGAGGGACCACCTGGAAACACTGGGCGGGGGAGAGAGAGGAGGGCAAACACGAAACACGGTTTAAAAAACCAAAACGCGGCGGGACGCACGAAAAAAGTGACTCGCAGGTTAGAAATGGTGCTCTTCGCGCACCCGTCTCTAGTGACACCGTCTCACCTTCTGAATTCTGAGTCCGGCTGGTCCGAGAGCGCTCCGCGCCGACCGCCCGCCC